CTTAAAATATTTCCGAAGTCTAACTGCGGTTACCAATCCGACTGCCAAGAATGGCAACTACTGGCAAACCCCCCCTCCTAGGGGGAAGCTTATGTTCAGCAGTAGACAGTTAAAGGCTGATATGATGATATAATGAAACATAAAAAAAATACAACGGAATTGAGAATTCTTTTTTAAAGTCGGTTAAAAACCAATGTACCTCGTGTATCACCGACCTAAATTTTAGAACAATGTATGCACATTTCAATTATTGATGACTGTAATTATGAATAAAGTTTTGTGCAATAGCGTTAATGTCATTGACACCGTAAAAGAGCGGACGTATCATAACGTGTCGATAAAATTAATTTGACCGATACGCCATCTGATAGCTTAGGATCATTGGTTTGATTTTGGTCACGTAAATGTTTAATTTTTCTTTTCTTTATTAACCGACTTAAAAAAAGAAGCAGTATTTCAATTCAGTTTTTTATTTTATTATTGTACCTTAGATCTCCGGCACTTGTAAACCGATTGTGATTTTTTTTATCAGTAAAGATATTAACTTACAGTTTGATAGAAATTTTATCAAAATCGATTTAGTAGTTAATTTTCTAAACCAAAGTAACTTTTTATGACAATTGACGTTGGTTTTTTTGTGGGTCATAATTTTTATTTATTATGCCACGAAGGTGGCAAACAAGCCCGTCTGATTGTAAACGGTCACTGTAGCCTATGGACGCCTGCAACACTAGGGGTGTCACGTGCACGTTGTCGACCCTGAAGGCACCTTAATATACCCTTTTTGAATTGGTATACACTTATTATATTGGATGAAAAATGATATATATAAGGTATATAAGGTTGTAAGTGAGTTTGTTTATTTGTTTGTCACATCCTGTCGTTTTTACAGCTCAACCAATCGTCATGAAGTTTTGCATATACGTAGTATTTTTTTTTAATGGGTGATAATGGAATGGTAACCCCGCCTGCGCTATCGATATACGCTAGCGGGGCACCATTGGGGGATGATAGGTGACAATGAAAGCAGGTCAGTTAGCCCACCGTGACGAATTCCACTAGAATTAACCACGATGCTTTCCAGGGGAACCGCGTGGAGGTCGACCTGACAGAGTGTATTGCTAGCAATAGGTCAGTTAGACCCCATTACCAACAATCCCTTTCCCCCTTATACGTAGTATTTGACATGAAGAAGGACATAGGCTAACATTGAACATACGCATTGGCTTGGGAGGTTTTGTCAGTAGTGGCCACGTTTGGCAACAGCAGTTAGGCTTTAGTGATGTTTTAAGAGGGGCGCTGCTGCCCATCCCTCGCCTTCCTTTAGTCGGTTCTTACGACACCCACGGGAAAGGAAGGGTTGGTTTAATCTATGTCGGAACCACACGTCAGTGAAAGATGACAGGTGAAGATAAAAGCAGCTCAGTTGACCCCACGTGACGAATTCAACAAGAATTACCCACGATAGTTTCTAGACGGAACCGCGTGGAGGTCGAGCTGATAGCGTATATTGCTAGCAATGGGACTGGCAGTTCGCATTACTAACAATCCCTTCCTCCCACTTCAGTATTCTTACTATAATTTTTTTTTATTTAATTTTGTTCGTATTTTAATTAATTAAAAAAAGGTTAGAAATTCCTAAAACGTGCATTAAATTTTCAAGCAGTGCTGTGAACTTGACATTTGGCACAGTTCTTGTGACTGAATCGAGTGCACATAACTATAACGTAACAGGTTAGTATAACTGCTAATTTTAACAGTGTGACGAAGTGTGAAATAACGAATTTGGATATTAATGACGAATCATTCAATGACAAATATTAATGGAAATTATGACGAAATGTACAGTGAGCACGTGGTCAGAAATCGATAGGTCGTTAGCCTGTGAGTGTGAGCGGGACGAAGATATGTGACGTATCGGTCGTCTCTTTCCATCGCAAGGTCGGCGGCTTCCCTGGGTTAATAACATTAGATATTATTTGTATTATAAAAAAAATTATTTTATTTTAATGTTTAATTGAAATTAGGATTTTCTTAATGGTGAATTTATTATTGTTTTTTTTTTTTAATATCAATATAGTTTAGGATGTGGATGCGACCATTAACCAAATAAGTTCGTTTTCATGCAATTTCTCGCTATTACTAACTCGTATTGCTTTTAGAACTCGAGGAAAATATTTACATGTTTAAAAAATAATATTCCGTTAGATAAATATTTACAAACTAGCTTTTTACCCGCGACTTCGTATTCGTGGATTACAGAAATAGAAAAATCTAATAAATAAGACCCCTTTTAGATAAATTGTCAAGATGAAACATATACGGGATTTTAATTTAGTTCTTCAGGAGTACAGCTGTGAAGACTGCATCAAATTTGTAGTGGTAGTTTTTTCGTGATGCCAGAATAAACACAGAGACAGACAAACAGATAAAATTTCTAATAATAATGATGATTAGTCTTATTAATTTTCAACCGACTTTAAAAATTGAGCTACAGAGCTGATTTTTTGAAGTCGATTTTTTGTGCGACATAATTTTAAACAATTGCCATGTACAAACGTCGTCCATTTACAGTTTTAATATATGAGTAAGATAAGATTTTTTTTTTATTTTCACGTCATTACATTTAATAATGGGTATTATATTGATTGCAAGTTAATATTTTTGAATTGAATAAAATAATAATGAATCATTGTTCTATCACAAAATATATTATTTTTTTAAGTTAAAAAGACTTCTAAAAAAAAAGCATGTATTTTTTTTTTGGTAAAAATATAAAACAACATCTTTGTCAATTCTACTCTCATTTTGGTAATTTTTTTTTTAACCGCATTCGTGATTCACTGTTCACCCCAAAGGTTGACTGGTAGAGAATGCTACTAGCATTAAGTCCGCCTTTTGTACTTTATTTTAATTTGGTCAATAAAGTTATTTAAATTAATTTGAAATTATTTTTTGCACTCATTAGGGTTCACTTTCGTATGGTCTGGTTTCGTGCTGTTACCACTTTCCATCAGGTGGGCCGTCAGCTTGTTTGTCATTCTAAGTTGCATAAAAAAATTGTCAAGTTAAGTTTAACCTGGAAATATATAATAACAATATATTATAACTGATTTTGATGAGTCCATCCATAATTATGCGACTTTAAGTAAGAAACAACATAGAGGGATGATCCAGCATCATAATATATGTACTACTGCAAATGAAAGATATAAGTATGAAAAACTATCCTAAAAACATAATCTTGGTAAATAAGTTATACGATTTTTAAAGTAGGTACATATGTACATACATAGATAGATAGATACTCTTTATTGTTTCCTACAAAAGATTACAATTATAAACTTATTATAAACTAGCTGTTGCCCGCGACTTCGTCCGTGTCTCCGTCGTTTTTCGTAAAATAAGTAGCCTATGTCCTTGCTCACGGTTCAGTGGTTTTGATGTAACAGACACATTTCCCTTCACTGCTCTGCTCCTATTGATCGTAGCGTGATGAAAAGTATACTATAACCTGCCCAGGAGTATGAAGAATAATTGTACCAAGTTTCGTTAAAATCCGTAGAGTAGTTTTTGTTTCTATAACGAACATATAGACAGACAGACAGACAAAAATTTTACTGATTACAATTTTGGCATCAGTATCGATCACTAATTACCGCCTGATAGTTATTTTGCAAATATATTTCATGTACAGAATTGACCTCTCTACAGATTTATTATAAGTATAGAAGATATAAACAATTACAAGAAATAATCACAATGAGAAAACAATACATATATCTTTGCATTTAATTTATTAGTAATTATTTTTAATTATTAAAGGGTCCTGCCATTGATCACGATCTCACCTGATAGAAAACGATGATATGGTCTAAGATGGGGCTCGCGGGCCCATGAACAGTCTATTCACATTTGCCCTAAATTGGTGCAGATTATATTAGGATAGAAAAACATAAGCAGGGAAATGAAAAAAAATACATGTCATACGCATGAATATTTTTCATTTTTAGCATTGAACTAATTAATATGATAAATTCTGTTAAGATCCGTAATGTAGTTTTCGAATTATCTGCCTACGTAGGCACTTACCGTTCGAACTTCAGGATAAACAAAATCGCCAACTATTTGCGGCTGACAACGTTTTCCCGAGTCAATGACCTGTTAACACTTCGATACAACAGCTTAGCCTATAACTAATACTGCCTGTTATTTTTAATTTAAAAAGAGAACTGAAAACATGTTTAGAAAATAGTATAGTTATTAAAATACAATGGGCATCGCTATTAAATTTTAAATTGCTAAAATTCGAAATAGGCACGTATTAAATTCTAAGGAGATCATAGAACTGAAACAAGGCTGTTAAAAAGGAAATGAGAAAATTCATATTTCGAACGTCCTGCAAAAGAGTTGCGAATCACGAACAACGTAACATTATCACCCTGGCGATTCTACATTCAAAACTAGAGTTCAACAGCATTTCACCGAAATCTACTTTGTTTGGGTCCTGGGGTCGATGAACCGTTGTGTCGTCGGCTCGACTGTGTGCGCGCGCCGTTACATCGGTACGCGGCAGCGACGTACGCACACAAAGATGAGTCGCCTTGTAGTTGATGCGGACTATAATGGGCAATTTTCTTGATTAATTACTCTCTTTTTATGAGTAAATTTGAACATTTATTAACTAAAAAGTTAATTTTATTTATTTTTCTTTAAGATTATTGAAGAGATTTTTCTTATGTATCAATATTTAAGGAGATATTTTCAACCATTATAGTCCGCATTGCGCCGGGGCGATTGAACTATCACTATGAGCTAAGTTGATTATTCGGTCGGAATGAAAAAATATATAATTTTTTCGTGAACCTATGTAAAGATTAGTCAACGCGTCAGTCACGTTCGGACTGCCCTGGCGTCAACATCTTGGTACTGCCAGTCGTAGTCGGGAAGCCGAGTTGTGAACAACCATAGTACAAAATATAACGTACAAATTTTTCCAGCAGTGAGGTGAACGCATCTTGTTTTTTTTTTTTAATGCAGTGACAGTGCCTTTGAAGTGCAGTGACCAGGATTTTACTTTGGAAAATGGAACGTAGTGGTGTTTAAAAGTTTTAAATTTAAAAATAAAAAATTCGTGCCCCATGTAAATTCGTCTATCCGGATTTTAGATAACTGAACATAACTACGTTCGGTTAGCTAAAGTCTTACATATTTAAAAATCGAACACAAATTGGCATTTATACTTTTTTATTCGAATAACATCTTTTTAAATCAAATAAATTCTTCTTTCTGCTTTGGTTTTCTCTTTACAGATATTTTGTGCAAATTTTGATCAGTAAGAAAAATAATAGTATACGGGAACAAGTGAATAATTACAATAAACCGAATAGTGCCTTATAATGTTTATTTAAGAGGAAACGAAGAAAAAATAAACAAACAAACCACGGAGACAAAATGCCAAAAAACTTGTTGCTCTTCAAAAAGATAATACCCGAAATCAATTTCGCTAAAAGAAATCTCACATCGCCGCTCGGTCGAAATATATTTATCAGTTAAAAACTGAAAAATAATAATAATAAAAAAAATCAAAAATAACAAACAACCAAGTTGGAGAAACATTGGGGAGTGCCATAAAGTTTTTTCAAAGAAAAATTCTTATGGTGATATAATTAAAAAAAATATACAAAAAAGTTGCCTTAACATCGACTTAGTCGATAAAACAACATTCAAGAAAAAAAAACATCAAAACACCAAAACGTTCAGTGATACTAGTGTAAAAAGAGACGCAATGCGAATGCAATTCGCGCGTTTGCAAAAATATTCGCCGAGAGTAACCTAAAGGAAGCAGGATACGGTTGAATTAAGAAAACTTTTTTAAAAAGTTGAAATTTCAAATTTCGAAATGAACAACAGCCAGTTCCACGAGTTGTTCGGATCGCAGTGGCCCCCTGATCAGCATGGTGGGCACTCGTCAGCGTCTACCATGCTGCATCAGGCGCAGTCACCACTCCCTCAAGGGATGCAGTTGAAGAGAGAGCCCCATACTGACGTTCAAGGTGTGATGCATAACCAGATGGGCATGGACATAACCTCAGGCTCGGTTGCTGACAGCACATCCCCTCCACCAGGGAGCAGTGAGGGGATGTTTGGCTCTTCTATATCCGGAATGTTCATGGATAAGAAAGCTGCTAATTCCATTAGAGGTACATTTTTTTTTATTATTTTTTTAAATTATTTCTGGCATGTTATAATTATAACTGGCCAGTAAATTTTTTAATAACAACTTAAGAATCCTATGATTTAAAGTCGTAAATTATAGTCGTCATACAAAAAATGTATGGTCAAACTAGTTTGAATTATTTTATCCTTTTCTTAATTACTTTTATGTGTGCTAAAATTATCAAAATCGTTTAAGCATTCTAAAAACAGCGACTTTAATCAATTACAATGCACCTATGGATGAAAAACCGATTTTGATGATTCTTTTAATCCCACCTTCCGTGAAATAAGAAAACGTATATATTAACATAAACTACAATATTAAAAGATGTACTATGATTCATTTTAATATATCTTTAGAACTAATAGGTTCGTATAATAAAAGTTATTTGCTACTAGGGTTGCCACTGCTTGTTTTATTTTATTTTAAATGAATAAATAAATCATAATAGAGATAAATAAAACAGAACAATAAATCGCGATCATCAACCGAATTTATGTTTATACTCGTTTAAAGTTTACAAACAATAGTCTACACTAACTTTGTCATTAAAAATAACTTTAGTTTTATTTATTATATTGTTGACCTATGCCTAAAGTATTAAAATCATTAAAACAACTTAGTTCACAATTCACAAAAATATAACAAAGAAAAAAAAAACAATAATAATACAAAGAAATTGAAAATATGTTTTTGTAAGTTGCTACTACTTCTACTATTCGTATGAGTGTCGCCCTCTGGCGTCAGAATTTTCTAATGATTTTTTCATAATAGATATAATGTGGTTTAAAAAATTGAAAAGAAGTCGCATAATCATTGACGAGTGACAACCCTACTTAATGGACCAAACATCATCTACAATTATATATATTTTTTTATTAGTTATTAGTTCATTAGATCAGTAGTATCCTAGACTAGTTTTTAACCGACTGTGCAGACGTAAATTGGTCTATGGTCTCGGCATAGGATAGGCCATCCCTTCCTTTCTCGTGGGTGTCGTAAGAGGCGACTAAGGGAACTTAATAGTCGAGGGACGGGCTGCAGCCTCCCTCTTAAACATCTCTAAAACCTAACTGCGGTTGCCAACCCGCCTGCCAAGCGTGGCAACTTGTCAACCATTTTTTATCCCGGACACGCATATGAAATCGCGGGTAAATTCTGATAATTTTTTTATACAATATCACTCAGGTAGCAAACTAGCATACGGCCCACCTGATGGTAAGCGGGTTTTTTTTATGAGTGAAAATGGTATGGTAACCCCGCCTGCGCTAACGGGATACGCTGGCGGAGCACCAGTGAAGGGTGATAGATGAGAATGAAAACATGCCAGTTAGCCCATCATGATGAATTCATCAAGAATTAACCATGATAGTTTCCAGGGGGAACCGCGAGCAGGTCGACCTGGTTGGGTATATTGCTAGCAATGGGATTCTCAGTCTCCATTACTAACAATCCCTTTTCCCCCGATGGTAAGCGGGTTACCTTAGCTTATGAACGGTTGCAATACTAGTATAGTATTATATTTATCTGTGACCAGGGGCATTACGCGGACCGCGTAGGATTGCGACGGATCATAACAGGGTCCGCGTAATTTTCTTAAAAAGGGGCACAAAGTTTTTGCATCACGTACTTATATATATATATATATATATATATATATAGATTATATTTATTATAAATATGATAATTAAATATAACGACATTAATAAGTAAATAAAAATATCAGTCCGTTTATTTACCTTTAATATTTAGTTAACGTATAGATTATATAGGTATATTTTATCTGTATGTCAGTCTATTTGTACACGCTATCAATCGATGTGTGAATTGCGTAATTTTTTTTTTTTATTTAAATCTACTCGACCCGATGAATCTCGTATCACTTACAACGCCATCTGTTAAAAGTAATCCGAAGTAGCGAGTCCTGTACAGAATGTAATATTTCGATTTTTCAGCTGTAAAGTTTATTTCTTTTTATTCACTCGTGTATTATAGATAAGAAAACAAATTAAAAGACATATTTAAATCGGTCAAGACGTTTTTTAGTTTTATCAAGACTAACAAAGAGCAAATTATATATATATATATATATATATATATATATATATATATATATATATATATATATATATATATATACATATACATAAATGCATACACAGAGACTACAGTAGGGGTTTCTTCAAAAAGGGTATATTAAGATGTAATTTTTTTAATGGATGATAACGCAATGGTAGTCCCGCCTGTGCTAACGGTATACACTGACAGGACACCAGTGAGGGATGATATGTTGATAATGAAAAAGCAGATCACGACCACGTGAAGGTCGACCTGACAGGGTATACCGCTAGCCCCTCCCACCTGGTAGTCAGGTTGGAAATCACAGTTAGGTCTTGGAGATATTTTAAGAGTGATGTTGCTGCCCATCCCTAGACCATTAAGTTCCTTTAGTCGCCTCTTACGACACCCACGGGAAAGGAAGGGGTGGTTTATTCTATGCCGGGACCACACGGCTTATATGTATAAAATAGTAATAATTTAATTTCGTTACGATGGAAGTTGCTGATTATTTTGTGCAAAATTTATTTGTTTTACCTGTGGACTAAATTCTTTCCTTCTAATTTAGTGTCTAACGATAACTCGGTAGACACCTGGTTGTCGTAAACAGCGGGCAAGTTAGGTAGCTCTTATGTGACCTACAAACAAAATATTTACGAATACTAATAAACAATCACGTTATCTGCCCGTCATGATCCCAATTGCATTTAAATGCGTATGTCCCAAATTATACAGTTTTCCACTAAAAACGATTTTTTTCTTCTTTGTTCGGAATTCGTGTTAATTGTTAGGAAATTTGGGTTAGACTAACGTTTGCAGTTACCGTTGCATTGTACTAAAATAATGCGTACTACTTGAAGATAAGGCGCATTTTGTATTGTTAAAATTCGCTATTTGCATTTTTGTTCTATGATACACTATGTTGTGTTGCCATTTAAATTTTAGTTTTATTCCTTAAGTGTGAAGGTTTATATTGGATTAATATGTAGTGGACATACGTCACTCTTCAATTGCGTATACAGTGCACGTGTATACGTCGGGGTGAATGCACTTGACATACTGCCTTTGCACTTTGACTTGCGTAGATTTTGATGGTACTGTATTTAGCGTATTTTGCGTAGATTTTAATTGTATATTATTTGTTGCCATAAGCGAAAAATAAAAAATGTTTATCTAGATAAGTATCATAGCGAAAATATCTTTTTTTAAATTTTGAGGTTTTTACTTGTTTTTTGGAGTTCCGTATAAATAGGGAAAAGGCAATTTTACATTATCACTTTGTTATTAGTCTCTGAAGACCCTTTATCTCAAGAACACATGGAGGTATTGAGGTCAAATTCATATCAAATACTCAAATCAAAAATTTTACTTCTAAGTGTACGCAAGCAAAAGTCGCGGCCATTTATAGCGTATTTTTTGACATTTGCAAGAAAATCAAAATCTATTGGGTATTTCCCGTTGGACTAGAAACGTGAAATTTGACAAGAAACAGTGTCGTATAACACCAGAGAAGGGAAATAACCAAAAAATAAATTGGTAGTTATATCACAAAAAAACAAAAATTTTTTTTCAATTATCATATTTGTACGGAATCCTCATTGCGCAAGTAGGACTCACGTTTAGTCAGTTTTTTTTAAAACCCTATTTCTCAAAGACTGACAATGATTTGTCGACAAATTTTATTATTCCGAGACAACATTCTATACTTAAAAAAAAAAAAAAAGTATAGCTCTATTTTTCTTTTGTATCAGCCGTTATCTGTTCACTGCTGAACGTAGCCTACCCTATAAGGGGGGTACTGCCAGTATTTGCCCCACTTGGCAGGCGAGTTGGCAACCACAGTTAGCCTTTTATTGATGTTTTAAGAGGGACACATCCGCCCATCCCTTGATCATTAAGTTCCTTTAGCCGCTTACGATACCCACGAAAAAGAATGGAGTGGCCCATTCTATGCCAGGACTATATAATCTTCGTTCCAATAATACTCTCCAATTATCTTTCCCCTCTCACCGTACTGATTACGTTTTAAACTCTTTTCTCCTACATTCTTCACGACTCTGGAACGCGCTTCCTGATGCCATTAAGAGACTACCGACTAAACCGTCTTTCAAAAAAAGCGTTCACGCTCACTTTCTTACTTTATCCGAGCAGTAAGTGCTTTATATTATTCTCAATTTCGTGTATAATATAGTATATATCATATATGTGTAAATATATTTGTTATTCATATATATTTATTCGTTTATATATGTAATTTTAGTATGTACGTATATCAACAATTACTAGTACCGCATTCGAGTATTCTGACACTTCCCTATGGTTGACTGGGAGAGAATGCTTTTAGCATTAAGTCCGCCATGTACACACATTTGTACTAATGAATAAATAAATAAAAAAATATGGCAACACCAACTGCTCATCATAGATACTAGTATAGTACTATATTATCTGTGGCCCGTACCATAGACAAAACTTTGACCTTTCCAAGTGTAGTTGTTCAATATTTCGGGATGAGACGATTGGTTAATTGAGTGAATTAGTTTAGTCGGGTTCAAGAATACCATCAATTTGTGGATGCGTTCACCGCGCGAGGTGGACGAATTAGGAGATATTTTTTTTATACAACTTTGAATGGCAAACAAGCAGACGGCCCACCTGATGGAAAGTGGTAACCGTTGCCTATAGACATGAGTAGTAGCATGGACATAACAGAGTATACTGTTTCGCCCACGATACCCCCCATGTGTTGCCATTCCTGAGGACTCAGGTGTTATTCCTCTGTACCCAGTAAATTCACACCATATCCCACCCTTCAAACCGAAACACAGCCATGCAAACACAACTGGCTTGTTTTAACGCTACATATATATATCTGGCATAGATAGGTTTTTCAACCAATTTTTAAAAAAGAAGAAGACAATTCCG